AATAGGCTAATCAACTTTGTTAAAAAAAAAAAATGTAAGAGAATGAGGAAACTTCATAGTTACCCCATCCATATTCACAGAACAAATTCGTCATGGCCTGATTACTGTTTATAAAATACTAACATAAGGATTTTTTTCAAAACATTTATTCTATTAGTCACAGACTAAACCAATATAGCATTCATTAGACACAGATGCCACTAGTTATTAACAATTTCCTGAAGGCATTTTTACCCTTAATATCTGTTACATTCACTGCTCGTGAATTTTAATTATAAGTTAAAAGCAATGCAAATATTATAATCAAAGAAACAACATTTCTACCTATTGCAATACCATATTTAAAATCACTTTGGTTTCAGAAATTTTTAAGTTGCATCATCTAGTCATATTACACCTGCAGATGACTGAAAAAAATCCTAAATACTCTAAATTTGTCATCACATAAAATCACACTGGCAAATATCTCTAAATAATGCCATACATATTTTATGAGGGAAAACTTCCTCTAAGTATCAGTTGCTATAATTCCACTTTGTAAGATCATTAGTTAATGTCATCAACTCAAGAAAAATAAATATATTCAGAAATGTTCTTTGAATATTTATTTTTTGAATGCAAAGTTAATGTTTTGCTAATCCTACAATAATTAAAAGAACATAAAATCAGTGCTATCAGTCTCTTTTGAAACTGATGTGGTCTACATCGTATATATAAAGAAAATTGTATATGTTTCGTGTTTATTGTTAATATTCAACAGTAGTTTAACAAGTCTTTGTTATGTATCTATTATATTTAGCGCACTGTGCTGGCCACATAAACTGCTAACTATTATAATACCTTAATTCACTGGATATTGTTTCTAATGTCTGGACCTTTCAACATCTGCCCGGAATAGCTCTCATCTTTTGAAACCTGTCATGAGCATTAGCTCCTCCGCGGAGCTACTCTCCATTTTACAGTCCATTCACACAAAGGTAGACTTGGTCACCTGCTCTTCTCTGCTTAGGTAGCATGGCTCACACACTGCCATTATGGAAGTTGTCTTGCGATTGTCTATAAACCTTCCATCTTTCAGTCTCAAAAGGTGAGTGTGTGCAGGCAGATGCCATATTTTGGTCATCTCTGTATACCCCACAGCAGCTAGCCAAGCACCTAACACACACTGAGAACCCAAATGTTCACCGCCCAATAAAATTACATGCTTTAATATACAAAGTATTTTAAGTTTTAGTGCTTCCAAAAACACAATTTGTTTTATTCAATTAATTGGCAAATATTTGTTGAGAATTTAACTTATAGCAGGTAATTTTTGTCTGTCATCTTATTCATTGGCTTGTGTAATCTAGCTTGTTATTCTAGCTTCCATTTTGCAGATGAGCACCTAAACCTTGTTCGCAGGTAACCAGACATTGCTAGTAACTTTCTTCTCTAAAGTCTTATAATTTTTTTTTTAAAAAGCTCATAATTTACTCACCTGTTTTCCTGCCTTATTAAGTATATTCAGTGTAATTTTTCAGGACTTGGTCAGTGTTCGGGTTTCTTACCAGGTTATTATCTTCTCCTAAAAATACACAGCCCCGACCCTGAGATGGGAGAAGACTTCTGGGAGCTTCCCTTCAATTACTGTTTTAGGTCATCTACTGTAAACCAGCTATTCCCCTTATACTCAGTGGTTGCTCTTCCCTTATTGAAATAATATTCAGACTGTTAGAACTTAATTTGGAAAGATCTTGGAAAATTGCCTCAATGTTTCTTTCTAGTAGGCATAGGGGAAAATATAACCTTAGTTGGTTTTATAACCTTAATTTGTTTCCAGTAATTTGCCAGATAAAAACAAGTCTTCAACCTGTGAACCCATCCAGAAGCAGAGGAGACTGTGATTTGAGAATTACCAGAAGAAAGTCCTCCTTCAAAATTACCCACAGTAGGAATGTCTGAAATTCCATCATTAAAGATTCCCTCAAAGAAAGATCGCATTTCCCAAAACTGACTCCTATTAAGTGAAAACTTTATTACAGATCCTATCTGAATAATTCATAAGAATAATACTTAAATATGTTCAAACCTGAAACTAGATATAATCTTCATTTGCTTATAATTTTATAGAACCATAAAGCTAAAACTTGTTTGAAATTTTAACATAAAACTTAAAAATCCATAACATTAAAACAATGTCTATATGATGGCTAATGCTCTGCTGAAAATAAAATTACTAGTCACAATAAGAATATGGAACTGTTTGCTAATGATAATAATCTTCTTGTCTTAGCATGGCTTTATTACCATCTGACTTATATTTTATATGTTATATTCCTATGTGCCATTTGTATACTATCTATGGTATCTAAGACACCATTTGTTGTAAAATATACCATTATTTTATGCATGCTTCTCTTAGCCTATCCCAACCTCAGCCTGCAATGACTACTAATAAAAAACAATGAGGCTATAACATTTGCATTCTTCCAGAAAGATTTTTTCCCCTTCTTCTTACCTACTGCATCTACCACAGAGAATCTCTTTACCATTAATCCAGAACTAAGAGATGGTCTATACCATCTTCTTCTTGTTATTTTTTCAACAAACTTTCACCGAGTACCTAGACTATGTCAAGCACTGAACTGGGCACAGGAATCTGAGGGTGGCCAAAGCATAGTGTCTGCCTGTAGGAGCTTATGCTCCAATAGAGAAAACAGGCCTGGACATGGCTGGACATACACTACCTCACCAACATGGCAACTTGGTACAAAAAAAATTAAATTGTTATTGATGAAATTCTAATAAGCCATTTCACCCAGAATAAGTAACTCTCCTTCTTCCCTTGTCTTCTTGCTGATTAGAAGCGCTCTTCTGTGGAAGACCACAAATCACAGATTTTAAAATCAGAAGAAAACAAACATTATTTTTTCCCAACCTAGTTATTTCCAGGTTAAGGCAAGAGATTTACCTTAGTCAACAGAGTTACTAAAGTGAAAAAGGATGATACAAAATGCATGTCCTTCAGTCCAGAATTCTTTCTAGTTGTCCATTTTCCAAACTTTAAGTCCTCTGATCTAGACAAAATGAAAGTGGTCATTTACAATTTTAATGCCCATGTTAATGCCACTCTATTGTCAAAAATCAGGTTGTTGGAGGCATTTTAAATCATTTTAAAGGTGCTTGAATTATTTAAAAATATCTCTATCCCATTTATTCTGACCTGTGATAAACCTAAAGGGTTAAATTGTCAAAAGAGACTACCCAGAACCACAGATCTTACCTAGTACCAAACTTTGTTAATACAAGCCACCATCAGGAATAAACAAAACATTCATTTTGGGAAATTTTCAGACACAACATCCAAAACAGACCATTTTCTCCTGTAGTCGGCACATTTTGGTTTTGCATTTACAAGTAATTTTTGAGAATTGTCTGCAAAAACATTTCTCACAAAAGGAAGGCAGTTTGGTTTGGGGACATCTTCGTTCCACATTCTCTTACAGAGCTTACATGGCACCTCTCTCTCCATTCTCCAGTCAGCCTGCTAAATTCCAGGCTTACTTACAACAAGCAATCTAGACAGACCAGAAATGTCCTGCTAAAAAAAATTTCATAAATAGGGACTCCCTGGTATCTTTCCACTGATAAATACTATGAGATTTATAAGAAAGTCTGGTGAGGTCATTTTTTCCTCTGCGGGTCTTAGGAAGGGAAAAAATTAGTCACAGGCTGGCTGTTAATACCTTCCCTTCTTTTGGCTCAGCTTCTATGCTTATATCCGAGGTTCAAAATGTAATCAATTATAGGATTACAGGATTATCTGAAAAGTTCCTAAAATGGCCCCATACATATTTGATAATCTATTCAGAAGTATTTCTGAAGCAATAATGGAACAAAAACACCCCCCACCATTTTTTAACAAAAATAAATAGCTTTGTGTTTCCAGGCCATATAAGTCAAATGATGTATTCAATTATGTTATTTATTAAGTAAGTTTATTTTTGATAAAATGGTTAAATCTAAAATTAAAACTTCTAATTTATTTTAAAAATCCATAAGGGAACTACAATTTTGGTAATACGAAATCTAAATTAAAATGCTTTCTTCATAAATACATAAATACTTTCTTCATAAATACGTAAAGGTTTTTTTCTGTATTAACTGTAATAAATGTATCTTAAAATACATAACTAGCATCTCAAGGAAATTTCCAGATTGCAAAAATACAGAGGGCAAGAAGTATTTGATGGGTTGACTTAGGCTGCCCTGGGTGTGGGTATGTGCTTTGTTGCATAAAGGCTTTGGTTTTAATTTGAAACTGCAGAAGATAAGTGCTTTCATTAAAAACAAAACCAAAAACAGAACCCCTTTTAAAAAAAACGTGCATCTTTGGTGCACTAAAAATCTCATCCAACAGCATAGAACATCAACAAAGTTTGTCTGGGCTCTGGGTAGAAGGGAAGAAAAGTTCTCTTTAACAATTCTTAGTCTTGTACCTATATCTCACACAAGTTTGGGGTCAAATTTACACACACACACACACACACAGAGGGAGAGTAGAATAAGCAGATTTTTTTTTTGTTTGTTTGTTTAGCCATGTGGAAATCAACCACCAGAAGAACAGAGGAAGAGAACTTAAAAATAGTGACCTAACATTGAAGGACCAGAGAAGGAGATTTTGAGGAGTGAATGATTTGCTTCATATCATAAGCCCTCGTGGATGTTTTTTTTAATCATTTCCATATTACTTTGCATAAAGTTAGATAGATAAAGATAGGTAAGTGGGTAATTAGAAGGAAAAAAAAGAAAGAAACCAATGTGTTGTGTGATCACAGTTAAATCATTCAAATCAGCTATGAAGCTGTGTTTAATCCTCTACTTCTAAATTATTCACAAGATCATTTTGACTCTCTAAAGTTCATAAACACAGTGCAAATCACCCAAGCAGAAGTAATTTGCTGCTTTTAAGCCAAAGCCCTGACTAGCTAAGGAGTTGCCTGTAGGAATTAACCAGAACAAAATCCTGATTAAACAACTAATTGGCTTGTCTACTAAAGAAAAAGAAAAGGAAAACAAAGTACATTTCTCTACCTTAAGGCACAGTCATAAATACAGAGGGTTTTCAGAACTACCTCAGAGAAGATGTTTAAATCGCTGACAAAAGTCAACAAGGTAAAGCCTATAGGAGAGAACAATGAGAATGAACAAAGTTCTCATCAGAATGAACAAGACTTTCATCCAAGTAATCAGTCTCAGCAAACCACAGCACAGGTATGTTCTCTACATTCCTATGTGAGCCTTGATTTTCATCATTTCTTATCTAGTAATAGCATTTAATCACTGCTACGATATATGATTGCTTAGTAGTTTTACCTGGCACCATCTGGTAGATGTACTGTGTCAGGCTTATCTTCATTAATTTATATATTCTGTATGTATTTGTTCATAAAAAGAATAATAAATGTTTAGGAGACTATACTAGGATTTGAAAAAGCCAAGTGAGGCTTCTTATTGCTGATTTTCACTTCTACCATCATCCAAAATGAAATCACTTCTCAAATATTAAATTGGTTACTTGATTGAGTTTCAACAAAGAACATCAAGTATCCTGGTCTTCATAAACCACACGTTAACAATAAATTCTCTAGAGCAACAGGAAATCTACTGGCTCTCAGTTGAAAACGATTTTACCACTCAAAGGACATTTGGCAAATCTGGGGACACTTTCAGTTGTCATAGCTCTGGGATGGGGATGTTACTGGCATCTAGTGGGTAAAGTCTGCAGATGCTGCTAAACATCCTATCATGTACAGGACAGCCCTCCACAACTTAGAATTATACACTACACAATTTTAATACTGCCAAGGTGGAGGAACTTGACTTTAAACAAGTCCTTTCACAAGTTCTAAATATATTTATCTGCAAAATGTATATGATAATTTCTGCTTTGTTGTGAGAACTAGAGACAGTAATATATAAAGCACATGGTAGGTACTCTGCAAGTGGTCATTATTAATAAGAATTTGTGTTTCTGTGACAGGTTTAAGTCCAAAGTGATCATTACAAGAGCAATATTTGCTTAGAACTATCTAGAGAATAATTTTCATGAATTACTCACTAGAATTATCGAAAAGAGCTACAGAAGATTTTTGGAGCAGTATTTTCCTGTCTGAAAGGGCTGGATGAGAGATGTCAAGTACAAGCAGGAGTGCTCCTCAGGGACTAGGGGAGCATGGTCCAATGGTTCGGGTTTAAATGAGCCCAGAGGATAGACAACACTGAGATTATTTAATATTGGCAGTGGAAAACCCGCCTTCCTTTTCTGATTAATGTTGACTGCTTTGCAGTAGAGAGGAGATGAGGAGGATTGTGTTAGGATTGCTTCGTGAGAGTGCCCTTGACTTCTTTCTAATTCTTATGTCAAACTAAATTCTTATGTCATACTAAAAGTTATTTATATGTTGAAGAACTTGTATAATGTCACAAATATTGAGCTGGTACTTCCCTTCAGCTAGTCTTGCTGTGTTTTGCTCTGGGAAAGTCACTACATTCATCTTTAACCCTTGCCTACTGTGATTATTTTCCAAAGGAACACATAAAAGCAGCTATAGCTAATATATTATTCCTTCGAGAACATTGTAGCTAACAGCAATTACTATGTGCCAAGCAAGGTGCTAAGCCCTTTTCTAGCGCTGCTGTATTTAATCCTCACAACAGTCACAGGTCCTATTACAATTTGCTCCTTACACATAGCTAGCAAATGGCAGAGCCTGGATTGGAACCAAGTCCTATCTGACTTGAGCACCTGAGAACTAAATCACTAGGCTATACTGCTTCAAACCAGGAGGGATATTAGTTGAGTCAACCTTTAAGATACTTTGCTTGCATGATAAAGGGATGTTAGAGAGAAGGGGAAAAAAGAACAGAAACTTCTGAAAGAGTTGTCCTTCCTTTCAAAACAGGAATACTGGAGAAGTACTTAGATTAGGCAGAGGTAGAGCACCCATTGGGTATATCCCACACCATTCCAACAGCCATAATTTGTGGATATTAATAATGAAGTCTACTGGCATCACATTAGTTTTTTTTTTTTTTTTTGAGACAGAGTCTCATTTTGTTGACCAGGCTGGAGTGCAGTGGTGCGATCTTGACTAACTGCAACCTCTGTGTCCTGGGTTAAAATGATTCTCCTCCCTCAGCCTCCCGAGGCTGGGATTACAGGCGCATACCACCACACCCAGCTCATTTTTTGTATTTTTAGTAGAGATGGGGTTTCACCATGTTGGCCAGGTTGGTCTCAAACTCTTGACATCAGGAATTCTGCCCACCTTGGACTCGCAAAGTGTTGGGATTACACGCGTGAGCCATGGCGCTTGGCCACCTTTTATCTTAAAAGTCATGTCTGGGGAATTATTTGCATCTGTTCTTTCCAAGAACATGTGGGTATGGGAAAAAATAATTTATCTCCGATTTCAAATATGCTAAATGTTAAAAATGACAGAAAGTTAAAATCCTGTTTTCTTTCATGGAATTTGACCTTTCAAAATGGCATTTAAACAATAAACCTCTGAACTATGAATAAATGATCAGAGTCTTCTAAGAAAATACCTAGGAATAAATATATCAATGTATATTTTTTTAAGGAGTCATTTAAAGAGCGAATTTACACACCACAATGTCATGGGTAATTCCCACCTATCAATAAACAGTAATTCAAGAACTGCAAATCAGTCTAACCCAAACTCTCTCTTACCCCAGAAGAAGACACTGTTCACATAAATCTACATTTGTACACACATAAAGACTATGATGGAAATGTTTATGAATAACAACATAATGATGCAAAAGGACTTGATTAAAGTCAGAAGGCTTCTTCACCGTTTACAAATTGTTCTGGACTTATACCTTTCTAGCTAGGTTCATATAAACTGGCCACTCAATCAATTTTATATTCAATAACATAATAATATTTAATAATAGCTGCCTCGCTATTATTATACCATATTAACATATACAGTTATTGTGAGGCTTAAGCGAAAATCAGCCAATTAATTCATTTTTTAGTTTAAAATGCTTCTGTGACATACACGGCTTATAAATAATGTCAGAACTCCATAGCAGGCACACAAGACTCTCAGTGTCCTTCTGGTCCCTGCCTACTCTCAAGCCTCATCTACTCACCCTTTGTCCCATCCAACTGCTCCCACTGGAGTCTCTCCCCCCACCTATGTACAGTCACGCCTTTGGCTTTTGCTAAACCTGCATCATCTGCCTGGAATGTTTTCTAAGACCTCTCCATGTGGAAAACAAAAATCTTATCTTTATAAAGTCAAGAGTCACTGTCTTTGGAATAGCTTCCTTTCTACTCCAATAGAATTGACCACTTCCTGTTTATGCCCTATCCTTATCCTCTACAGACATTGATTCGTCACCTGCATTTTCTTGCACTTAACATTTTTGTGTGTTTGTTTCCCCTTCTAGACTGTGCATAGCTTAGGAGTCAATCTTTATGATCTAACCTCATATCTTGTTTCACTCTGCCCCCGTAGGAACATCCTGAGGCACACACTAGCCATGTCCGATGCGACATGACGGCATTTCAAAGGAAAGCTTAGATGATCAGACAAATGATGAGGTAGAAGCACAAGAAATCATGGAGAGAAGAAAGGGAGTTTTGTGTGAATGGGACCAAACTGCTTTCTCTCCACTATTTTAAGTTCTGCCATGAAAGACCTAGACCAATGCTAGGCCTGTGGCAAGTAAAGACCAGAATTGAAGAACTGTGAGCAAGAGAAACACAAAATCCACCCTGAAAAAACCAGAGGTCTCCTGTGACTAACAAGCTGTGGAGGCTGAGGTTGATTATTCAATAGTAGGCCACGAATGCCCATTTTAAATGCATGAATCATTTTTAGTGCATCATAAACAGTCAATTTTAATGATCCAATTAACAATTGAGTGGAAAATGGTGTTACATTTTACATTCAACTTCATTTTCATGTAAATTCATCACATACAATCTCTATGTTTTTTCTCAAAGGAACAAAACAAAGGTGAAGAGAAATCTCTCAAAACCAACTCGACTCCAGTCATGTCTGAAGAGCCACACGCCAACATACAAGGTCAGAATGCAGTCTGCAAAAAAAAAAAAAAAAAAAAAAAGTGAAATACGTATTTATCTGAAATGTATTGTCTGTTGAAATATTTGTCCTTGACTAGGTGAGTTATCTAGGGTTATCTGCAGTTATTTGAAGATCTGAATATTTACAAAAACTTTATATTCTCAATCAGCAACTCATTTGTCCACGCAATAGATGCATTTTCATTACCTGACATGTGCCAGCCACTGTTCCCTGGGCTGGAGGTGCAGTGATGAGCAACACGAGCAGAGTCTGAGGTTACATAGAGCTTGTAGTCTTAAAGAAACACATCACAGATAAGTAAGCACATTGTGAACGATGCAATTTCAGACACTGATAAGCAATATAAAGACATTAAAATGAATGTGGATTGAATACATTTAAAGGTTTAGCATTCACACCTCTGCTCCCTCCTGCTAAACTCTCTCCAATAGAAGGCTCATATACTTCTAAGGCTGCCACACTTGTTTCTAAATCCATATCAGGTCAATTTCTTTTTTAAGACTGTCAATATTTTTCATCTCACCACTAGATGTACACGACGGTATTTTCTGCTGCATCACAAAGAAAACATGTCTAAAACTAAATTCCTTATGTTCTCTTGCAAATACGCTCCCTCTCCTGATTTACTTCTACCCCTGGTACTATCATTCTTTCAGCCTCCTAAGCTCAAAACCTCACTCAGGTTTTATTCCTTTATCTAGGATGTCCTATAAAGAAAATTAGTCACCAAATCTCCTTTCATAAGGACCCTGAAACCCACTTCCTTTTTTTTTTTTTTTTTTTTTGAGATGGGGTCTCACTCTGTCGCCCAGGCTGGAGTGCAGTGGTGCAATCTCGGCTCACTGCAAGCTCCGCCTCCTGGGTTCAGGCCATTCTCCTGCCTCAGCCTCCCGAGTAGCTGGGACTACAGGTGCATGCCACCACGCCCGGCTAATTTTTTTTTTTTTTTTTTTTTTTTTTTTTTTTAGTAGAGATGGGTTTCACCACGTTAGCCAGGATGGTCTCGATCTCCTGACCTCGTGATCCTCCCGCCTTGGCCTCCCAAAGTGCTGGGATTACAGGCGTGAGCCACCGCGCCTGGCCCACTTCCTTTCTTTCCAATCTCAGCAATACCATCTTGGCTGGGGCCCTTATTAGTAGGTCATGTATGCACTACCCCCAGGCTAAGTGGCTACTTTTGTTTAGAACTCTGTTTCACCCATCTCTCCCTTGTTACCCAGCCCAAACACTGTTAGCAGATTATTTTCCATTAACCACCACTTTGATCTCAACTTTTGCTCAAGAAGCTTAAGTGTTTGCATATTGCCTGCAAGACAAAATCTAAATTCCTCCACCTGACTTTGTAGAACTTAATGTGATCTATTCCCAGCCCCCCTCTCTAGACCTCTCCTACTTCTCTCCTACTTCCAGTAGGAACACTACCCCCTAACCAAAAAATACAAAAAAATACAAAATGAAAGGGAAATCGCTAGAACAGAATATATTTTGTTAAATAATAAAAATAAAATTTTTGCCATAAAACTAGCACAAATGTTTTGCTTTTCATCTGTTCAACAAAGTCTGTGTATGATGATTGTTAATGACTTCCTATTTGTACTAAAACAAATATTTGAACTGAAGCACAATTGAGCTTTTACTAGCCCAAATGTCTCATCTTTAAGGAACAAAAATAAGAAATACACAAAAATTACAAGCAAGATTATAAATTTAAAAACAAATCACAAGAAATGTTTCAAATACACAAATCGCTGTCAAGGAATATCCCCACAATCAAAGTACTGAGGCCACTATCCTAAGCAAACTAACATAGGAATAGAAAACTAAATACCTCATGTTTTCACTTTTGGGAGCTAAACATTGAGTACACATGTAAAGATGGGAACAGCAGACACCAGGATCTACTTGAAGGTGGATTGGAGGAGGGTGAGGATGGAAAAACTACCTATACGGTATCATGCTTATTCCCTGGATGATGAAATAATCTGTATACCAAACCCCCATGACACAAAATTTACCCATGTAATAAACCTGCACATGGGCCGGGCACGGTGGCTCACGCCTGTAATCCCAGCACTTTGGGAGGCTGAGGTGGGCGGATCAAGAGGTCAGGAGATCGAGACCATCCTGGCTAATGCAGTAAAACCCCGTCTCCACTGAAAATACAAAAATTAGCTGGGTGTGATGGCAGGAACCTGTAGTCCCAGCTACTCAGGAGGCTGAGGCAGAAGAATGGTGTGAACCCGTGAGGCGGAGCTTGCGGTGAGCCAAGATGGTGCCACTGCTCTCCAGCCTGGGTGACAGAGCGAGACTCCATCTCAAAAAAATAAATAAATAAAATAAATAAATAAATAAAAAATAAACCTGCACATGTACTCCTGAACCTAAAAGGATTTGTTACATTTTCAATTTTTAAATAATACAAAATTCCAGTACCATCTTACTTTAATTTGGAAATGCTACATTAAACCTGTTGTGTAATAAAGAAAAATTTTTAAAAAAAGGACTGCTCTAAACAAATGGCCCCACTCCCATACTTACTTGTTTCTATTTAGGAGAAAAGGAAAGAACCTATATGAAGAAAATAACTGAATTTTACAGAGATATGCAGAATAAACTTACATAACTGGAGAGAAATATGTGTCCACTTGGGAGGATATTATAAAGATATTGATTTTTTTTCTTAAATTAATTTATATTTATACTTGTTACAGCCTACTCTCTACCTTACAGTAATAATTTTTTTTAAAAAAGGGGAAGAAAATTCACTTTAGTTTTCTTGACTTTATTTACTTATTTTGAAAAACACCTCTGTGTTTTCACTATGCAGATTAGAATGCAGGGAATACATGTTCTTGCACAGACCAGGTGTTTTTGCCACTATCTTTCTTCTGTACTTTTATCTCTGCCACAAAGATAAGAAAACAGTATCTTCCAAATAGAAAATCAGCATTGACTTATTCGAGGAGAGAGGGGGAAACAAATAAATGTTCTACAATACATTTTTCAACATGAAAGCAATATAATCATACTTCCTAGCTGATGGCTAAAGCTAGACTGTTCAACTGCTAGATTATCTGATTTAAAATATTTAGGATAATGTGTCATTGAAAGAGGAAATCACTTAATAAGCCTAAAACTCTGTCTGACCCAAACTCACATATATAAAACTTCCACAAATAGTAAGAATCATAAACCAAGAGGATATTGTAAAAAATGTAATCTTGCCTTTTTTTATCAGTAATTGAAGACGATTATTGAATCTTCAAATTTGTTTAAAAGGAGAAGACTCTTGTAGATTATACAACAATCTTGAAGGCATACTCCAAAATGTGATTAAGAAATGGAAGTACCAAGGAAGAGAAAAACATTCTGATAATTCAAACTACAATTCTTTTTTTCTGAGTTACTTTGTAATAATAATGGTTTAAATCTACAGTTCTTTGCACAGAAAAATACAACCTTAATTGGCATAAAACCAAGGATTACACCTTTGAAAAGACAAGTTTATTCTTATCTTTGTTGTACTTTTTTCAAAGTGTATTTGTAAGCTTAAATTTTTCATAGCTGGTAATAAAAACTCTTTTGTGGAAGTTTCATTTAACAGAGGAGCTATTTGAGTAGAAGGAAAAAGTAGTTTCATTTAAATCTGCAGACTTAGCACGTCTCCAAAGACTTTAATAGGAATAACAGTTATATTTAAGATATTTTGTCTTGGAAAAGCAAAATTATTAGTGTTTAAAGATAGCCTCTGATATGTGCTTGGTATTTTTGTGTTCACTTCAAAACATGCAGGTGCAATGTCATAAAATCTGCAGATGTTGATTTCTGATTATAGAACTCTTATCTTCTGCAGAGCATGGTTTAATTTATATCTGCCATGGAAATGAAGAATGCAACATATTTTGGATTCAAATAAAGATAACTTGCTAAGGTCATCTTTTGATTATAATCATCTTCCTTAGGCATCTACTTCACTTATATTACATTAAATGCTTCTTTAAATAAATGTCTCGGTCCCAGTAGAGGATATGTAAGTAATTTACCTAGTGGTTTATGGTACTTTTAAGTGATATATTATTTGTGTAGAAATGGGTCAAAGTTGAGTTCCCATTGCTAGTATGGTGTGGTAAGCCGATGAATGGCTATCCAAAGTCATCTACACCATCATCTCTAAAATCTATGAATTTGTTAGCTTACATTGAAGAAAATTGCTAATGTTACTAAGGATCTTGCAATAGGAAGATTATCCCAGATTATTCAGCTAACCCCAGTGTAATCAAGGGCTCCTTATAAGAGTTGAAGCAGGAGAGTCAAAGGCAGGAGATGGGACAATGAAAGCAGAGGTGGATTGATGCTCTCTGGAGGTGGAGGAAGGGACCAGGACCCAAGGAATGCTATGACCTTTAGAAGCTGGAAAAGACAAGGAAAGGATTGTCTCCTGAAGCTTCCAGGAGGAACACAGCCTTTCAGACATGTTTTAGACTTCTGACTTTCAGAACCGTAAGACAACTGACTGTGTTGTTTTAAACCATTAACTTTATGGTGATTGATTACAGCAGCAATGGAAAACTATAATACATACTGTTTTAAGATAATTCCAACTTGAAATATAAAATGCAACCATTTTTCTCCTGGCTAACACGGTGAAACCCCGTCTCTATTAAAAATACAAAAAATTAGCCGGGCGTGGTGGTGGGCACCTGTAGTCCCAGCTACTCGGGAGGCTGAGGCAGGAGAATGGCATGAACCCAGGAGGCAGAGCTTGCAGTGAGCCGAGATTGTGCCACTGCATTTCAGCCTGGGTGACAAAGTGAGGCTCCGTCTCAAAAAAAAAAAAAGCAACCATGTTTAAAATGAAATTGAGTTTTCCTACAATCATGTGAATTCATAGTACAGGCAGTATACTATCCAAAAAAAAAAAAAGAGCATTTGAGAATTTGACATCCCCGAATTCAAATCATAACTCTGCTACTTTCTAG